CATGATTACATGCCTTTTATGGAATTATTCATATTATATTTATATATGCATAAGGCATGCATGATGCAATTGGAATGAAAGTGGATGCATGATTATTGTTATGTTGACTCCGGATTGGAAACCGTACCCATCCCCCTCCAAATAAGCTAGTATTTGACATTATCCTCATGCGCGATTGAGATGGTCCGTCTACGAACATTGGTATATCCTACTAGAACAAGACGGATGCCTGACGAGCTCCAGGCGGGATTAAACCAGGCGGTTATTGGCCGGTGTGGGATTTTGGACGCCCCGAGGGTAGACTGTGGCAGATATATTTGATACCATATCATGACCCCCGAGGGTAGACTGTGGGTTGAGCATGGTATCCAATGATGTTCGTACCATCCCGAGGGTAGATGCGGATGGTGCCACCCAAGGGGACTGTGGTGGTGTAGCTCATGTTGAGTTAGGGACTGGTTAGATAGTTAAATCTTGGCCCCTAAGGGCTAGTAGGGTGGTGATAATTGATTATTTTAATGATAGTGGTGTGTGATTTCATGGCATCCGAGAATAATATATATATTGTTGTTGCCTTATCATGTAAGTACACTAGTGTTGTGTGGCATACAATATTCCAATGTTTTCAAAGGTAAAGTTATTTTCGATAAATCTATTATCCACTCACTGGGCTCTCCAGCTCACTGTTTTATGTTTCCTCCCCCAGGACCGTAGATCGGGTTCGTGTGGAGCATACTTACGATCAGGTTGGCCTTGACGCATGATGATTTGCATCTTTTACAAACTTTAGGGACTCTGATACTACGTTTCTTTTGTAACTAGATTTCGTTCCTGTTTTAGAATAATTATTGTGTATTTCCACCTTCTAAACCTTAAACATGCAAATGCACTACTTTTCACTTTCGCCTATAAACGGAATTGTTTTTATGAATGTTTTTTTTTTAAAGAGTATTCACCTTCCTTTCGGGATCTTGAGTCTCCTGGAGCGCCCGGATCCGGTGGGATAGGGATACTTGGGAGGGGGCGTGACACTCATCTCTGATAATGGGAAGTAGTTCGATAATGAGAAATTCAAATAGTTTTGCGATGAGCTTGGGATCCATAAAAATTTCGCCTCAGTCGCAAGATCACAAGCCAATGGTTAAGTTGAAACTGTCAACCAAACCACCAAGCACACACTGAAGGCCAACCTTGGCGCTGCCAAGGGCAATTGGGTCGATGACCTCCCAGAAGTTCTATGAGCACATAGAACAACTTCGAGAACCCCAACTTCAGAAACGCCTTTCTCGCTAGCATATGGCTGCAAGGCTATGATCCCAATGGAAGTAGGGACTGGTTCACTCCAGAGAGGCCTATTCAATGAAACAGACAATGAAGCACTTCTATGTGCCAGTCTGGACCTAGTTGAAGAACACCGCGATAAGGCTCGGTTAAGGATAGCATCCTACCAGCAGCGTGCGAAAGGTTCTTCGACTCTAAGGTTAGGAGAAAAGACTTTCAGGTCGACGACTTGATTCTAAAAGAAGTCCTTCTCGATACAAGGGAACCGAGTGTGGGGGTACTAAGACCTAACTAGGAAGGTCCATACCAAATCGTCAAGGTAATATGACCTGAAAAGTATCACTCAAAAGGCTTAACGATTCCAAAGTACCGCGAGCTTGGAATGCTAAGCGTTTGTAACGCCCCACTTGAGGTACGTAGTTAAGATCTTATGAATGGCTTGAATGTTTATTGATTTATCCTGATTTGAGTTTATATGTTGTTAATATTGTTTGGTTGGCCCTTGGTTGAATGGGTGTATTGGTTTGGTTGAGTGGTTGCCTTGAAAATTGTAAGACTTGGCGAAATCTTGATGTTACAGTCTTCGCCAGTGCGAAGAAGAAGCTTTGCCATGGCGATGAAGTTCTACAACCCCCGTGTAGCTACTATAAGTTTTCGCTGGGGCGAAGAAAGAGCTTCGCCGCGACGAAGACTCGGTTGAAATTTCCCTTGAGTTTTTAGAGAATTTTTCCTTTTAGGGCACAATGACCATTCTACCCCTAATTAGCAGGAAAAGTGGGGAGTGTAATGCAAGGACATTGCATGGAGAATAGTTTGTTGGGGGTGTTTTTGCAAAGAATTCAAGGGCAAAGGTAGAATTTCTAAGAAAGAGTAAGGGTAAAATGGGAAAGAGTGGAGAAAATATGAGATATTAAGGGTTTAGCTTTAGAAACCTTTTCATTCCTTCCTTTCCATCGCCTCTTTCATCCTTCAATTCTCTCAAACTTTCATTCAACTTTCCAAGGATTTTTGGAGGGCTTTTGGCTAGATATTGATACAAGTTGATCCTAAGCACTTAAAGGTAAGAATCCTTACTCTAGATGTGAATTTTATTGGTGTAAGAGTAGGATCCTTATTGAGTTTGTGTTTAAGGTTTAAGAGAAAGTATCAAGCCATCAAGAGTAAAGAGCTTAAGTGGATTCTACTTGAGTATAAGGTAAGTAAATCCACCTAAGTTGTGATTTGCATGATTGAATGATGTGTAGAAATTTATATATGATTAATGCTTGGATTTTTATGTTTGAAACGAATTGATGAAGTTATGAATGAGTTCAATGTTGATTTATGAAGAGATTTCCACCATGAGAAGGGTGGATTGTGTAGATAAAATTTGGTAGAAGTATGGATAGAATTAGAAGAATTTGAGAGGAATATTTGAAGTGTGTTTTCTTTGCAAGGTGTGTGATGATTTGAAGGAGTTGAACTCCAATTTTGGATGGTTAATAAAGAAGTAGAACTATAGTTAGAGTAGGGTTTTTGTATGCACACATATTGTTTGATGAAATGTCTAAGAGAAGCATGAGTAGAAGTAGAGAACCTTACTTTATGCAACATAGCATATTTGCATTTCATGAGTGCATATAATAAAGATTCTAGGCATGAGCCATTCATATGCATATGTTTATTTGAGTAATCACCAAAGAAAGAATTATGAGAAATGAGAAAGAAACACTCTAAGAATAGAGATAAAGAAAAGAACTAATTCTCTTAGAATAAAAAGAAAGAAAGAGTTAGCACTAGAGAATAAAATGAATAATAAGTGCTAAAGAAGAGAAAAGAGAATAGGTTGTGCGATGGGGAGCCCGTGAGTGTAGAAATTATCCGCGTGTAACTTCCATGAGAGAGCGGTTTCCGCCATGAGAGAGCGGAATGAGAATGAGAAAAAGAATTTATATAGCCGTGAGAATACATGCGGGTGAGGGCTATATACGAGAGAGAGAGTACACTCACACGGCTAAGGGTTCCGAATCCATGCATCAACCAAGACCGATCGGCAAAGAATAAGAAAAGAATAGAAAGAAAAGAAAAGAGAGAAAATGCATTGTTATGCTTTAGTGCATATGCATCTCATCCATGCATGTTATTATGATATTTTCCATGGGTGAGGAGAATAGAAAGAAAGAAAAGAATAGTGAGAGCTAGAGATAGAGAAAGAACGAGAGAGATTAAATAAGAGAAAGTGACAAGAGTAAGAAAAGAATTGAAGAGTAATACACGGGGACTATGGAGTAGAGGATTTACTTACTGAGCATCTTTGTGCTCACCCCGTTGTTTTCTATGTTTTTACAGGACATAGGTGAGGACGTGGTCGGATGGACGTCGGCAAGCGGGGAGACTTGGCTGCACTGTCCACTATTTTTAAGAGTCTTTTTGTACAAATGATACTGTAGTATATAAAGAATGTATATATTAAGTAAAGAAGATTTTTTGGGCCAAACTATTTTGATAAGTATACTTGTCTTCTTATTAACATATTTTATGAGTATGATAGAAGAAAAGAAGTTGTTACAGCATCTTCGCCCCTATTACCAGTAATTCCAAACTCGCTCTTAATTTTCCATTTCTTTTACTTGTAAAGTTTTCCTTGTAACCTTTATGAAGAAGATTGTTCCACTTTATCTTGAACAAATATTTGTGTCTTGTATGATCTTGTTCGTTACGATATTTTATAAGTTTCCTGATCAGATATGTAACATTAGTCTTGTGAAGTGTTTGAATTATAAAAGTGCTATAAAAAATGGCCGAAAATACTCCTAATATATATATATATATAGTGTGTGTGTGTGTGTGTGTGACTCGTATAAGTACAGTGGGCAGCCAAAAAAAAAAAAAAAAAGAGCCATCATTGGTCCCCGCTCCAGGCTCTGCCAGCGCGACCTCTGTATCCCCGAGATGGTTGCCGACCATCCGATCAGCTGCTGGGTCCTCGGGGACGTGTGCCTCCGGCTGGTCATCCTCTAGAGGAGGCTCTTGTCCCTCTTCCTCCTCGGCATCATCAGCCTAGGCCCTGGAAGCAAAGATGTCCTGATATTCATTCGGGAGGTCGGAAAGGTCCATCCCCGGATTCCTTGGTCGCAAGCTGTAGATGGCCTGTATTGCCCAGTCAGCGGCCTTCCTCTCGAGTTCAAGATTTTGCCGCGTCATGTGATCAGTTAATGAAGCAACCCGCCATTGGGATAGCTCGAGGTCCATTTCCAAAGCTCTCTTCCACTTCTTAGAATTTTCCCATAGTTGAGCTATGTCTTCCTCCGCCTTCATGGCACGCTCAGAGTTTACCTTCAGCTCATTCTCTTTCCCGCCACACTCTTTGGTGAGTCTGGCCATTGTCCTTTGGAGCTCTTTATTCTCCTCATCTCTCTTCTTGAGGTTGGCCTTCTGGAAGTCCACTGTGCAAAGGGCAGAATTTCTCTCTACCAAATATTGGTTCGCCTGAGTATGGATTGCCTTCGCCTTTGCGTCCAGAGTTACGAAGTCCTGTTTCAACTTGGTATTCTCTTCCCTCAGCTTGTGGAACCCTCAAACAAAGTCAAGATCGATCTTCTGTTAGCCCATATGCAAGGTGAGCAAGGATTGCATAAGAAAAGAAATAAGAGTTAACTTCCATTTTCTCGAGAATCATAAAAATTAGAAAATCCCAAGCAAGAACGAGTTGTTTTAGCCGACTTTGCAGTTGAAGCGCAATGGCCACCAAGTCTGCAGGTCAAGAAGCCACGAACTCCTCAAAGGCTGTAGCCAGTTGGCACTCTAGCAGGGCATACACCACTGGTTGTAGATGCTCCGGGAGTTGCCCCATGGAATCTAGCACAGGCGTGTCTGACCCCGGAGGAACTGGCATCTCATCGACCAGCTGTTTGCCCGCTCTCCTTTGGGTAACCGCGACCTTCCCCACTCCTCTGCATGAGCTCTCGGGGGACGCAGAGGTGCCTGGCGTGCCCCTCGGGGCCACCCTCGAGTGAAAAGCCTGGTAAGGTTGCGATCCCCCCAGATACACCCCTAATCCTCTGGCTCAGACTCTGATTCCTCCTCAACTAGCAACTGCTTCATTTTCTTGGTTTTCTACTTAGCGGCGCGAACAGCCGCAGGCCGAGAAGCTTCCCCATGTCGCTCTGTGGGTGTTTGCGCGCCAATCTGTATCCCTCCTATGGGGATATCGCTAGGGATCGCCCTGGCTGGCTCAGTCGGGGCAACCCGAGAAAATACGAACCCCCTAGTCTTCGTTGTCGGCCTTGGAACCCTGGGTGGCATGGTCGCTGTGCACCATGAAAGCATGTTAACCAAAAGGTCACCACAGACAAAAGAAAGACCAAGGGTTCCAGAGATGCTTCCGGATTGAAAAAACCATACTTTCTTAGGTTGGCAGTAGTCACGAGCAGTCTCACGTCGTGACTATGCTCGGGTAGATGACTGAATGTCACAATTTGGTTAAAATCTGTCAGAGCTGTCAATCTGGTCGTCTTATTTCCTGCAAAGAGATAAAAGTTCGTTAAAAATAAGAGCTGAAGAAAAAGGAACAGTTCAAAAATTGAAGGAAAGGAAAACCTACTTGGCTCCCTAAACTGGCAAACACCATCATACTCAAAAAAGAAAATCTGGTCTCATAAGCCCTGACGTTACTGGGGTAACCAAATATTCCTCCCTCGATTGTAGATCGCTTTGAGAGGTAAAAACGAGTCTTTATCCTTGCTCTTCTTCAGATAGTAAGTGCATGCGAGCTCCATCATTGTTTGCTCCCCAAGGCCATTTTCGCCATATGCGATATACATAGCAACAGCTATCATTTACGCATTAGGCGTCAATTGTAATGGCACAACCTCGAAGTAGTCGCGGATCGATCTAATGAAGGGGTGAAAAGGTATCAACGCCCTACATTTAAAGATCGCCTCAGAGATCGCAGCCATTCCCTTTGAAGGATTCCGAGCTATATATGTCCTATGCTGGTAGACATCCACGCGAAACGCGTACTGGTCCACTACTTTCTATATCTCGTCCTAGGTGGCCACTGATAAGGTCTCTTGCACGGGGCTTGCTGGGGCGCCCGACGCCTATGAGCTCGTCCCCTCGGCTGCTCTGGTCGCTGAGGTATCCATTGCTCCTAAAGTCTGAAAAAAGGGCGACATACAGAGATAACTTAGTCTCTGTACAGTGTTCCGTACGATAACATGGAAAAGAAAAAGAAACCCTAATGTACCTTCCTTAACCCCTAGAAAAACCCTAAAAACCCTTGGGAATGAATCCCCAAGGATTCGTGCCCCAAGTTCTCACTCTTTATGAAGAAAAAAGCTCTCTTCTCACCATTGTCTAGAAATACGTGCCATAAAAGATTGCCAGACAGTTCATACCCACCATTATCGCAAAAGTCAAGTAATTAACAAAATAATAGAAGAAAATGAAGAAGAAATCTTCCTTACCTCTTGGCTACTGGGAATGAACTTCCTGTCGTAATAGAGAGTGCGCATCAACTGGAAGAAGGGCAAACTGATTTCGCGAGAGTTTTGTTTTTTCTCTGAAAATATGAGTTATGTGACAAAACTTGAGGTGAGCCCGGGGTTTTATTGGGGGAAAAACGAAGATTGGTTTCCCTAGGCAACCGACGCTTGGGCGAGATATGTTTCTCGCCATTAATTGTGACCACATGTCGTTAATCCGCGAGAAAAAGTAACCTCCACGCTTCATGAATGTCAATCGACGCTTCCCTCCATTAGAGCAACCAAGCGTCGGCGCGGCTACCTTCTCCACATTAAATGTGCCCTTATCCGCATTTAATGCTCTGAAAGAGAATGTCGTTTCAGCATGGCTTGCATTTAATGCGCATGGCTGGCACTTATTGCTCAATAGACACGTCTGTCAAAATAAAGATTATTTTATTGACCAGACTAGCTGTCAAGTGTAATGGATAACATCTGAAGAGGTCGTTCGAGTAAAACACTCTTCGCTGTGTATCGATTTCGAGATGATGTGATTCCTTACTTTCGGTAATATGTGATAAATATTCTCAGGTCGCGAGCTATGGATGAGATTCAAAGCATGTCGATATGGCACTGAGTAGGGTCTAAACCAAGTCGCTGAACCTATGGGAGAAGGCTGCCTCAGGTCGCGTGTGCTATTCATAGAGACCTATGTTGAGACGTCCTTACGACTCAATTAGCTCGATCAAGCGTCATTCGGGACAAGTCAAGTCGCGGTAAAATCATGAAGTTCTCAAGGTTTAATCCTTAAACCTTAAAAACTCGGGGGCTTCTGTTATGCCTAAAAAGTCAAGGCTGACATGGACTCTCGTCAACAAGGGCCAATCAGAATTCAGGGAGGCTTTGTGCCGTCTAGACGCTGCCATATCGCGCAATGACGAAAGAGGTATGGTTCTCGCTAGTGTAACAGGTGAATGTCAGGCTTGCGAGTGGCTAGATATCATCCACCTGCCCAAGCCCTACGCGATTTAAGGATGTTTCTCTTACAGACAACCAATGGGAAGCGAGTTAGGAATTGTACCACATCTGCCAGACTGCAGACTCATGATTATTACCTTGAATCCTCTAACTATAAATAGAGGGCTCCTTTCTCATTTACGAGATTGGCTCATCTTTAGTCTTAAACATCATACATTCTCTCTTTCTCTCTCTATATTCTTTCTAGATTGTAATTCAATTCACTGCACGCGACCTGACTGTAATCATCTATTAATACAACTACAATGGACATAGGATTCGCTTTTGAGCATCCGAACCATTTTAAAAATTATTTTTTTATTTATTCTCTCGCTACATATTTTCATATCACGTGTAATTTCTAAGTCCGCTTAGCACTTTGCACGCGTGAGTCGTTAGTGTCAAAATCAAGCATCAATAGAAGTGATCTTGGCAATATTGGAGTGCAGGGACCTCTTTCCCTTGAGCTTGAAAATTTGACTAATCTTGAATTTCTGTAATCTTCAATTTGTCTAACTATTCTGTGATAGAACATCCTCCATAACTACTTCATGCACTTACCTTAATGACTTAAACCTCAACACTTTACTGGCAGGGAGGCATACAGCAATAGCATCACTGGATCCATTCCAACTGAGTTGCGAAAATTAACAAAATTAATCAATCTCTACAAAAAATCAACTCTCAGGTCCAATTCCAGCATCTCTTGGCAACTTGAAATCTATACGGTTTATGTAAGTAGGTATCTTGTAACCTTGAATTATCCTAGATTATACAGCGTCTAGTTATATCTGTATTCATTACATGTTTTGTCTCTCTTAACAGGAGATTGAACGATTAACAAACTAACAAGCAGAGTACCAGAGAGTGTCAAAGCCCTCTTTAAAAGCCTTTTCAAGTCTTACCATTTCTTGAGCAGACTTTCTAGCTCTGCCAATAATATAAAAGGAGATTTTGGAAATTGGGTTTATGGAAAATAATTCAAAAGATCCATTAATTTATTTGCTCTCTTTAAAAGCAGAGTACCAGAGACTGTCAAAGCCCTCTTACCATTTCTTGAGCAGACTTTCCAGCTCTGCCAATAATATAAAAGGAGATTTTGGAAATTGGGTTTATGGAAAATAATTCAAAAGATCCATTAATTTATTTGCTCAAAATAAATGACTAAATATAATTTACTTGGTCAATGGTTTAGGTGCATGAAGAAAGGTTTCTGCCTTAAATTAAAGCCAAGTAATTAATGAAAGATAGTCAAAGCTTTCTATAAATGCTTTTATTATTTTCTCACTTACTAATAAATTACTTTGTCCAACCTATAAAAAGAAAATAACTTATCTTTTGAATTTAAAAAAAAAAAAAGGCAAAAATAATTTTAGGTTTGCGGCTTTTATACTTTTAGAGTTTTAATTTAATAGTATTTCTTTTTATATAAATTTATTTAAAATTTAAAATTACAATTTTTTAATATGCAAATTAAGTATTAGACTTAATTGTCAAAAATTAAGTGTTTTTTTTCATCAAAATTAAAACTAAAACAATTTTATTGGCTTAAATACATTTTGAATTCCTTTTATATATTCCATCACCTCACAATTCAAATGTTGACTCTAGATTTGATATTAATTATTGAGTAATGTTACATATATATAAGTTAATTATATAAATTATTCCCTATAAACTAATGTGGTAACCTTACATGTTTGACAAATCATCTTCTCTAATTGGTTAAATTTATTTCTAATTTAAAGTCATCCAATCACATTAAAACACACTAGATTCTATGAATGAGTTTGTATGGTAAGTTTGAATATATAGTATTATTTGTAATTTTTTACCATATAAAAAAAAGTTAAGTGATTTTATTCAAAAACAAAAATCTCTTCTTAAATGCTAAATTATATGCAGAATCAGATTACATGTTACTAGATATCTACACTCCCACAACCACTACTTATTGAAACTTTAAAATTGATTTATATATTATTTTCTAGTAACTTTTTTTATTATTATTTAATTTTCTGCCCAATTAAGTATATTTTTGTTAAGATTAAATTTAGTAAGTCAATTTTAAGAAATATTTAGCTGTATCCTATTCTATAAATACGTGATTTTATTTGTTCTATTATCATCTCCTCTAAATTATTTTCACCTTCTTCTCTTCAACTTCTTCTCTTGATATGGCATCTCAATTGCTGGTACATTTTCTCTTTGTGTTTGCCGTTGCAATTGCGACTGTAAAATGTAACGTAGAAGGTATGGAGCTCACTGTAAATTATAATTCTTTCGCAAACTGAAGTTTTCTTAGCAGTTCAATTCAATCATGTTCCCTTTTTCTCTGAAGTTTGATCTTCAGCTCTTTAATAATTTGCGATGAATTTAATGATATTTGCTTAAGCGTTTGTTAAATTGTTTGCCAAATAGTGGACGCTCTTTCTGCTTTGAAATCCGCCTTGGTTGATCCACAAGGTGCGCTTCAAAGCTGGGATCCAAATTTGGTTGATCCATGCACCTGGTTTCACGTTACATGCAATGATGATAACAAAGTCACAAGGCTGTATGTATATTCCACCTTTCATTAGTTTATTTAAAGATTATTGAGTTTAGATTTGGCTGTTTGAGAACTCATTTTTTCTAACTTGAAAGTGGAATATTTCAATTTGCTTCTTGAAGGGATCTTGGCGCTTATGGACTCCAGGGATCTCTTGTCCCTCAGCTTGGATCTTTGGCTAATCTTCAATATCTGTAACAACATTTTGTTTTTCCTTTTGTCTTTTTGTTTTGTGAACTCAATGAATTTATGCTTATGGTAAATAAATTAGACAAGTACAGTTTTATTAAATGAGTTGACACTTTACTGGCAGGGAGATATATAGGAATCAAATCAGTGGATCGATTCCAGCCGAGCTCGGAAATTTAGCAAACTTGCTCAGCTTGGACCTGTACGAAAATCAACTCTCAGGTCCAATTCCAGATTCGCTTGGCAACTTGAAAGCTTTAGTGTTTATGTAAGTGTATATATCTCCTGTATCCTTGAATTATCCACAATGCATTTGTATTCATTTCATGTTTTGTTCCTCGAACAGGAGATTGAACGATAACAAGCTAACGGGCACAGTACCAGAGAGTGTCAAAGCCCTTACAAATGGAAATTTGAGGATCCTGTGAGTTTCCCATTCTTTATTTTGTTTCATGTTTAGTCTTCTTACTTATTTCCTATTGTTTTTATTTGCTGCTATGACTTTTGGCTTCTTTTATTGGACTTGTGATTCTTGGAGGTCATCTTGATGATTGTTATTCAATGGTTTATCAGGAATGTTACAAATAATCAATTGTCAGGACCTCTGTTTCACTCCACAGGCTAAACAAAGGTACCCAATTTTCACACTGTTATAAAATTAGAAAGAAAGTTGAAAGTGTTTCTAATTGGTTCAAACATTTATGCTATGCCTTGTTTTTGTAGGATATGTTGATACAAGTATCAAACAAGAAGCTGGATCTCAGAAGTAAAATGATGTGAAATAAGAAATATCATTGTTGTATTACTTTAAATAAAATTAGTGGGAATGTATGTACCGGCCGGACTTTATAATTTATTTGAGAGAATATTGATCAAGATTGAATGCTTTGTGTTACCCAAATTTGTCTCTAAATTTGCAGATAAGCTTGGTATATCTCCCTGCATTTGCATTTATTGGATTAACAATGCAGCTCACTTTGCCTCTTTAATAAAATATCACATTAACTCTTATAAATTAAACATAAAAACATATAATATTACCTCTCCCCTTATGGCTGGATGACAAACTCTTTAGCCATTAAGGTTAGCCATATCCAAGGGGTATTGTGTTTGAGTCGCAGGAGATGTATCTATCACATTTGTGCAATTATCATAGTCCATTGGACTAATTGTATGATGTTTCGTGGCTCTGATGATTAGATAAGCTCTAATATGGGTTTGGATACCTTAGAGACCTTAAAAAAAAAAAAAAAAAAAAAAGCATATAATATTTGTATATAGTATACTTCATGGTCTAGACTGACAAAAGAATCATAATCAGCCTAATTCAAATATTTGACTCAATGGTTTAATTTTTTTGTGTTTGTTAGAACGAAGACAAAAGAAAGTCATAGATTTAGCATTTTGTAAGAAATAGTTTGTATAATTTATTTATATATATAGCATTATTCTTGACAATAAACTCAGTGGATCGATTCTAGCTGAGTTGGGCCAATTTAACAAATTTAATCAGTTTGGATCTGTCAGGAAATTAACTCACAGTGTTACTAATTGGTTCAAATAGAAATTTCATTCTATGGCCATTCCAATGATCTACAAGTTAAAAACTTTTCTTTTTTTGTAGGTTATGGTGTTACCAGGATCAAATAAGACCCGGGAAATATTGTATGTGTTTACTGTAAAACAAAAATGAGTGTGTATATGGCCCAAATTTTATGAGAATAAAAGGTTTCTTTATATATGCAGTGTGTCTATAAAGCTTACATTTATGGCTAAATTTGCTACTAAGCTTCTTCTATCTCCTTTATTTGGTAGATTAACTCCTCTCCTAACTTTGTTACTTTGACCTCTTTCTTTAATAAAATAACACTTTATAATTTATAATATTAAAAATAAATAAATACTAATCATATATCAGATACTTTATCGGCTTCACTAAATGACAAACAAAGAAGCATTATAAACTTAAATACAAAATTGTAGACTATCTCTGTTTGTTGTGATTGCAAACAAAGTGCTTTTTTCACTGATGGGAACAAAGGCTGGTGGGAAAGGTTAACTTAGCGGCTTGAAGTTGTGAATTAGCAAAGGAGATAACTTTCCTCAGTAAGATTCCCAGCTAATAGAGACATATTTGTTCTGCTATAAGCTGATATTATAAGCCTGTTATGTCCTGTAGAGATGGGAAATTTGAGTTTTGACTCTCCCTGTTCAGAAAAATGAAATGAATGTTCTTCAGGTGGATATTACTTGTAGTTATCACAACTCAAAAGTACTACTGTACTAGTCAATTTTGTTGGCTTTTTTCTAATCGGTTATCAACATTCTCCTGGTGAATGCCATGATTTATTAAAATTTTGTGCGACTTTTCAGACACCCTCAAGAGTCCTCCAAGCTACTGCCGGCATTTGATGGCTAAATTATAAAAGTTTTTTCTTCAGTGAATAATGATACCCATTTCGATACTCCAATGGATGACTTAATCAATATATTATCTTCAAATCAGCAAGTCCTTGGACTATATGTTTTGACTTAGAATCTGTAAGAGAACCGTGTTTTTTGTTTAGTAGATATCTTGAATAAATCCATTAAAACTCTTGGAATTTTTCAATTGACTTTTTCGTGCTCAGTTCTTCAAAATATTAATATTTTATAATTCAATATATACAGAGGTGTCCCAGGTTATTCACTGTCCAGATGTATCAATATTCAACGCCAAATATATAACCTAAGTATTGATCAAGAAAACAAACTGGGAATTCTCTTCTTTATTCAGATTTCATTTACGCAACTGTGTATGGCTTCTCAAGCTCTGGTTTCTTTTCTCTTTGCCTTTGACATTGTAATTACAACTGTAAGATGCAACTCGGAAGGTATGGACAATATAAATAACTTTTTGCCGGCATAATTTTATGTTGCCGCCAATACAGATATCATCAGCGTTCTTTTATGAAATTAATTTGATCTTGAGTTCTTGTCCATTGTTAGTCCATTCACACTCTTCAAATTACTGTTCTTTGCCAAACAGGGGATGTTCTTTCTTCTTGGAAAGCCACCTTGGTTGACCCGAACAATGTTCTTCAAAGCTGGGATCCAACTTTGGTTAATCCATGCAACTGGTTTCATGTTACATGTAACAGTAAGAACAGTGTCACAAGGGTGTATGTATTCCTCCATTATTTTATAAATTTATTGTGTTTTAGAACTGTTTTTAGTTCTATAGGAAATTGAAATTTCAATTTGCTTATTGAAGGGATCTTGGTAATGCTGGCCTACACGGACCTCTTGTCCCCCAGCTTGGAAATTTGACTAATCTTCAATATCTGTAAGATCTACCTCACTATTATTAGTTTTCAAACATAACATGTTCACCCACAATTCTCTTTCTTAATGTTTCCAAAAATAGCTTCTTGTTATGAACTAAATAAATTGATGTTACCGATGAATAAAAGGCAACCATTATAATTTTCTTGCAGGGAGGTATTTGAAAACAACATCACGGGATCGATTCCAGATGAGATTGGTCATTTAACAAGCCTGGTCAGCTTGGACTTGTACAATAATAAACTTTCAGGTCCAATCCCAGCCACCCTCGGCAACTTGAAATCTTTGAGGTTTATGTAAGTAGATAACTCAAACTACCATTGAGCTATCCTAGTTTAAGCAAAAATTAGAAGTATAATCTATAAATACTTATTTCAAATTCTGTCGAGTGACATGTGGCAGGAGATTGAACAATAAATAATTAAGTGGCATATTACCAGCAGAGGTCATTCGCCTTATTACGTTTGGCAATTTGAGGGTTCTGTGAGTTCTTTCAATGCCATAACTTGATAATTTTTTACTCAGTCGTAATGTCAAATATGATTGGTTTTGTTTATCAGGAACGTAGCAAACAATTCATTGGCAGGGACTGTTCATTCCACTAACTCAACAGGTACCCTTTAATCACCAAGAAATTAAACTAATTGGAGGGACAATAATGATAGATTGTTTACTAAATGTTTCAACTTCAAACGTGTATGCCAAGTCCATTTCAATGATCTACTGATTACTAGATTTTCTTGTTTTCGTTTTTGTAGGATATGCTGTTACAACAATCATACAAGACCCAAGAGCTCAAAAGTTTTGACTTGAATGTTGAAATAGCTGTTTGATTTTAGTTGTGATCTGTATTATAGCGAGTAAAATTTATGTCGCAATGCATGTGGCCCTATACTTAATGTAATGTTCATCAGAGATGCTTTTATGTCTTTAAAGCCCAATTTTGTGGGCTAAAAATGCAGATCAGAAGGTTCTTTTATCTCCCTGCATTTGTTATTCACTCCTAATTTCTGACTCCCCAATATGGGCATTTTATTTAACACCTTAGGTGCTTCTCTGGTATCTAAAAATTTATTAAATCACAATTGCATGAAAATTTAGATGGAAATGGGCAACATATGCAGCAATCAACTTTGCTAAACGAAACCACCGAGTGGTCTGGTGGTAAAAGAGCAAAGGAAGATCTAACATGATCTCTTAAATTCGAACCTCTTTAATAGTAAAAGAACAAAAATAAGATTTAACATGGTCTTTCAACTTTGAGTTTTCATGGCCCTTAATAGGGGTGTTCACTGAAACTCTTATCCGATTAATAATTTCAGAGTCCCGGTGGATTAACTAAAAAACTTCGCCGGTAGCTCCTGGGTCGTTCCAAAATATTTTCAGAATCAGATCACAAGTAAAATAAATTTCTGGGTTTTCATTTTCGATTGTACAGCTACATTTCTTCATGCTAAAATTGCAACCTGTAAATTCAAAATTTCTCTGTAGAGTCATTTTCCAGAATCTAAATTTCAAAATTTGGTGTGAATATGTTCACCGAAAAGAGGGAACAAAGATTGCTACCGTAATTCACTCATGTTTTCTTTTTAGTAATGATGGTCCCTGAGATTATTATTAAAGGAAACCGTGTCTAATTAATATCTCTGCAGTTGTTCTCACAAAATTTTGCCAAGTCGTCTTACTTCACAATTAAGCCCCTCCTATAACAGGAGAAAGTGTGAAAGATACCCAATTTCGCTTTGATTATTTAGCTTTTAACCAAAACTCTTGGAAGTTCTTTTGTTTAAAAACAATCTAGAAGGAAGTAAGTAAAATCAAAACAGGTCAAGAGCTCACATTGTTCAAGGCATTGATAATCATTACTTGTTTAGATATGGTAGTTCCTTTCTATCTGACTTTGTTTGAATTGAAAAATTTTGGATGTCCCCAGAGACAACTAGTAAAGTTATTTCTGTTAAAGGTTTAAAGACCAGTTTAGTTTGAATATGGAGGAAAAGCAGCTGGATGTTGCTGCCTTTAGTGTTAACATTATGATCATTTTTCATTATTCAAACTAAAAAGATCCTTTTGACCCTTTTTTCTTCCCAACTTTATACAGACTTATCATGGTCATTTTCGTTTTTCACTCAGAACATCAGATGATTATAAGGATTCTTGAGTGTAATGAAATGGGCAAAAATGGCGGGTTTGCAGTTGGTGGGTGTATATTTTAAACGTGAGAGGTGCTTTTGAAAACAAAATTAGGGAGAATGAGAAAAGAATGGTCAAACTATTGAGTTCTTTTAAAGAAATGGATGAAGAAAAGTAATTCGTGTGGTACTGATTATACACTCAATGGTCCGTATGGAAAGCTTTTGTCTTACAAGAAGAACAAGGCCTTTACAGAGAAAAAGGAAAAGATGCAATGTTAGTGCTTGGCTTAGTCAAGTCACTCCTTTTAAGAAGAAAGACTTATCATAATATCTCATCCACCCACTAATTTCTTTTTCCATTAATACTTATAAACAAACATATGCACATGAAATTTGTCATATAAATGTTAAGTCAAAGCTCAAATGGACCCCCAAAACAAAACAATTACATCCAACATTAAAAGACGAGTATCACATGGCAACAAGCAATCAGTCAATCACTCTTCTTAGTGGACCTGATCCCACCCAGCAATGCCCATTTTGATTTCTTGTTTTGATCAAATATTATTGATGTGTTAATCTGAAGATTCACTAACTTTAAACTGCTCCATTCCACACAATCAATCAAGAATCAAACTGAAACAAAACCAAGAAGACAAGAACGCAAGATTTTTATCGTAATTCACTTACCCAAATTGGATAAGCTACATCCACGTTAAGCTCCAGTAAACTTGGGGCTCACTACACTAGAGATCAAGATTTTACACAAATACAATCAATATTGAACTCAATCAGTTCACTCTCTCTGCAAAACCTCTCAAGACTCAATCGTAACCCTTTCATATGAGAATACTAACCCAGATCTTCAAAACATGAAGGACACTCAACTCTCAAACACGATTACAACAATTAGGGTTGTTTGGTTCCAAGTACCCTGCATTTTTTGAAGGAATCAGAACCAACAGTTCCTAGGTACCCAGAACCGGAACCTGTAACAACGATTTCGGTTCTGGTTCTAGGTACCCTATAAAATTCAATGACCCCCAAAAGTTTTTAAAATAGCAAAAAAACCCTTAAAACTTACAATACCACCCCCCCCCCCCCCCCCCCCCAATCTGGAACTTGTTAACAAAAATAAAATTACAAATTCAAAATTACAAACTCCATTACTTTATAAAGATAGATTCTCAAAAATCAAACCAACTTACTTTAAGGGGCCGTTTGGATCATATAATGTTTTTTTGTCTTAGTAATAAGATTACCGGAAAGAAAGATTACATTGTAGATTACCGGGTTTAAATTATTATTGTACTTGGTTCAATTGGGATGTATTAATAATTAATGTGTTTGGTTGATAGTAATAACAGATATCCTAAAATACCCTTTTACTAAAATGCCATTTAGATGATTACTAGATATAAATAATTAAGGGTTTGTTTGTTTTATTATTTCAAACCCTATTCTCTATCATATTCCCAAAATACTTGTTTGTTTAATTATTTGGGAAATACTATTCTAGTTTTTTGATTACTTTTAGACCCCTNTACAATCAATATTGAGCTCAATCAGTTCACTCTCTTTGCAAAACCTCTCAAAACTCAATCGTAACCCTTTCCTATGAGAATACTAACTCAGATCCTCAAAACATGAAGGAAACTCAACCCTCAAACACGATTACAACAATCGCTCAAGATTACAAACCTATGAGATACACATCAAACACTAACAGAGACGAAGATGCTTAATCGCAAAAACAGTGTAAGTAAAAAACTACCCAGATTCGACAGAAAAAACTTTCTTCTATACTTGTGCTACTGGAGTGATTCTGGCCGTCAGATTCAGCTTGTCTCCAATGGCCACGATCAATCTTGGAGCTGTCCCATAAAACGACAGCGTTGAACTAATGCCCAACGACATCATTTTGGGCTTCACTTTAACAATTATTGGGCATGTTTGGCTTATTATTTTTACCCATATTCTCAATCCTATTCTCCAAATAATGTTTGACACATTATTCCAGAAATATTGCCCTATTTTTTAATTACTTTTAGATCCCATAAGGTTATTAATTTCATTAAATACCCCCTGAAAAAAAGTTTAAAAATTAGCAAAAACACCCCCGTGACCCATACTTGCCAGATTCCAGCAACCACCGTCTGTGATAGCCGGAATATGTACAACGGCCTACTTGCCGACCAGAAATGGCTGGAATTTCACCGATCTGGCCGGAAAAGGCCAGATCTGACCGTAACGATGGCCAAAGAAATGGTCATCGTTAACGGTCAACGACGGCCATATCTTTGGCTGTCGTTTTGGCCTTTTCCGGCCGTCGCGGCCACGACAGGCCGTGGATCTTGCCTTTTCCGACCAGATCCGTGGTAGATCTGGCCGAAAAAGACCATAACGATGCGTTACGACACAGATTCGACCGGTCTGTGTCGTAACGCGATTTTCCAGCCAGATTCTTGCGGTGGTGGCCGGAATATAACACTACAAGTGGTGAAGGTATTTTTGTCATTTTATACATTAGGGTGTTTAATTAAATTAGCAAACCTAGAGGCTTTTTCATAAATTTTTAAATTTTACCTCGTAATACTCCCCTATCCAACTATCCAATATTATTCTCAAAATCCTATCCAAAATAATAAACCAAACACACCCATTAATTGCCCAGCTGCTTCTCATCTTCCCAAGCATCTACCAAAGTCGTATTAAATACCGTTCAGTAGCGATCTGGTAAATTATCAACTTCAGCACGTTGAACCATAATGACAGTAATTAAAATTGAAAGCGGAAAACGAGCAAATCCGGAAAAGAGAAAAATGTTATTTTATTGTCAAATATTGATTGTAAATGGGATTTGAATTTATTAATCTGAAGAGAGAAAAGAATATGAACCAGAATTAGACAGGTTTCAGTATCATTCAAGCTTTCATTTGATTAGTAGTAGTTTATGAAAGTTTCTTTCGAAGCATAAATGGCTTATCAGACCAGGAAAGTAAATTCCTTTGTTCATTTAGTTGACTTCTTCAAAAAAAAAATTGTCATCTTTAAAGTTAGGCCACTGAATACCGAATCTGGAGTGTGATAAACTTGTTTATATAAATAAAAAACTACCAGATACGACAAAGGGTTAGCACAGAAAGAAATTTCGTTGGAGGAAGTAAAATAAATGTGTATCCGACCACCACACGTTTCCAAAGTAAACATTGTTCTCTTATGCCTATGCTCTTTACAGCACTCGTCAACAAAACAATCCGAACTGCAAAATACATATACACTTTAATAAAAGACATTATTTTTTACAACATTGAAACTGCAAAAAATGAGCAGATGTCAGTCCACACATGCTGAGGTCTCAATTATTCTCTTGCATATACTGTTTTGGCTCCAACAGAGTTCAAAAGATTTGCCTGGTTTTCCCCAACCACATCACCCTTGTCAATGCTGACATGCACGCAACCCCTCTGTACAAAATTATCTTCAATGGTTCAAGTTAAATAATATAAATTTATCTTACAAAAAATTATAGGAAAATACTATGACTTCAACTGGGTTTCTGAATCTTTGTTCCTCAGTGAAGTAACGCAACCATATGAGCAACATGGGTGGTCCAAATTTTACTGGAAATGTTGCCCCAACTCAACTTTATTTTCTGTGTATTTTCAACTCCTATTACCATTTCTAAGTTCTGATACTCTAATTCACACGTCAGTAATTCTCAAAGGCTAATAAATTTAATTATTTAAAAAAATTGGTGATATAGAGGCAACGGGGACAGAATCGTCTTATAGATTAGTGACTAGGGATATTTTTGGACTTGCAGGTCTGAACATGAAAACAACTAAACAAAGGATAGGATAGGCCTTAGGCAAATGTACCTTTTATGAAAAAAATTTAAAGGTTTGTAATTGTTGTATAGCCATAAAGCCAGCCAGCCGGTCCCAATTTTAAATTTTTATGGGGCTCTATAAATTCCCCTACAACAAAGGCTTGATTCCTTGCTTCCATGCTTTAAACAAACATAACTACCACAACTCTCTCCATCTCCGTCTCCATCTCAAAATTCCCCAGTAGCATCTTGACTCTTTTAAAGTAGCTCAGAATAACCTTCAACTTTCAAAGTTTTGTTTGCAATGGCGATCTCGACTCTGCTTGGTCCCCTTTTTGTTTTACTTTTATCAACTGCTTTGGCTACTACAAACGCTAACACAGAAGGTATACATGGATGATATAAAATCTGAGTGTCGTTTTAAATGATTGTTTTAACATTTTTTCATAATTATTTTTCAATCATATATAGACTTTTTGTTGATATTATTCATTGTTTATGGCTGTGTAAAATGAAAAGGGGATGCTCTATACGCGTTGAGAAGAGCTGTTAAGGATCCACAAGGTGTTCTTGAAAGCTGGGATCCGACTCTGGTGGATCCTTGTACTTGGTTTCATGTCACTTGTGACTCTGATAATCGGGTTACCCGTCTGTAAGTTTCTTATAATCATTTTTTCTCCTCTGTTTGTGTTTATTTATCCACTGTTTGTCATGGACAAGTAGTCAAACCCTTACCTGTAAAATTGATACTACTTGTTTGTTCATGCATACAGCATATATAGTGATATGTATATATGGAAAATCATGAGCCGGACGTAAGTGGGGTTGTGTTATATTGCCTCAAAACCATCCGCATGTGAGCAACCCGAGAAATCTAATTAGTCAAATTCAGACAAAACAAAAGGACAATCAGGCTTTCACTTTGTTAATGCTTTCAATGCATGCATGTGATTTAATTCTTGAATTTACGACTACCTTACTCTTCCAAAACTGTAGATATGTACATGAACCTGTCATTTTTAAACTTAAAAAGCAATGTGAAACTGTGTCTATTCAGATTTATCGGGCCAGTAATTTATAGAATTTATATATATATATATATATTGCAGAGACCTTGGAAATGGAAAGCTGTCGGGCAGACTAGTCCCCGAGCTGGGGAAGCTAGAACGTTTGCAATATCTGTAAGCATATTTTTTATTTCGAAGCTCTACCTCTTTATTATTATTTAATTCCTTGGGACAGAAGAGACAAATATGAAGCATTAAAGAAATGAAATTAGGTTGTGCAATAAATGATGTCCTTTTCTTAGTGATGGCATCACCGTCAGATCGAGGAGCGATAGATTAAGGTCTTAAATTCGGCCATGATTGATGAAACAGAGAGCATTTAATAGAATATGACTGGGTTGGTGTGTGTTAACTGTACAGGGAACTATACATGAACAACTTGGTGGGTCCTGTACCGGAGGCACTTGGAGGACTTAAGAGCCTTATTAGCTTTGATCTTTATCACAATAACCTTACCGGGCCCATCCCTTCTTCACTCTCAAGCCTCTCTAATCTCAAATTCTTGTAAGCATGAAATACCCTTCTGAATCTTTAATTTGATTGATTGATTGACGTCTGATCGGAATCAAATGGTTAAGAAGCAATCTATAATGCTTCACGTGATCTCCCATGCAGGAGACTTAACGGTAACAGATTGACTGGAAGGATTCCAAGGGATCTTACCAAACTTGGAAGCCTCAAGATCCTGTGAGTTTTAACATATTATAATTACAATATGAATTATATATCTCTCTAAATTCTCATATTAATCTGGAAATTTTACAGTGATGTGTCAAACAATAATTTGTGCGGAACAATTCCGACATCGGGCTCGTTCTCAAAGTTCTCAGAGGAAAGGTGACAGATTTGATTTCAACCCATCCATTAGTTTTAAGAGTAGATAGCTAGCTATTTTTTTGGTTTAAATCCTGAGTTGGGTTTGCATAACTATTGATTTTCTGGATGCAGTTTTATGAATAATCCAAGACTAGAGGGACCAGAATTGATGGGATTTGTGAGATACGATGTAGGAGGAGACTGTAAATGACGCACCAAAGAACAAAGAGGCAACAACCACCTTGACCAATTCCATAATAATGTCTCTTTATATGGAAATGGCTACATATTTTTCTAATTTTAGTGACTGATTAGGGCATTACAACAAGATAGTGTTCTTGTAATTTAGCGGAGATATCCTTATCTTCACGCATGTGATATTAAGTTTCAGCCATCTGTATTTGTTTTTTTCCTCTTATATATATATAAATAATATAGTATATATCTTTTGCTTCATAATGTCCAGTCGAGTAGGTCTTTGATAAACCAGAACCACTATTTCTTTCAATCACCCAGAAATTCAGTTTCAGTCGTCAAATTTCTGTAAATTTCTGTCCTTTCTTGATCATGATTCGTATTTTTTAGTCTTGGTTGTTTACCTTGCAACATCAACCCGAACTTTTGCTGAATTTCTGGTTAACCGCATCCAGCAATATTTTATGTAATAGCCACAGTTCAGAAACAGGTTGGATAAGAAATTATTGTTCTCAGCATCAACAGATGCGTTTGGCAAGTTGGTGAAGAAGACAGTAAACGATCTTTTCCAAATTCAGTTTGAAGAGCCTTTCTTAAAAAAAGTCCTCAAAAGTTTATCATATTTTAATTCAACCCTTAAAATGGGCTGTTTAAGTAAGTTTTCCTCAAAAGTACCAAGGCACTACACAGGTTGCTTCTAACAAACCCTCAATCAAAACAAGCCAAATCGTTAACTAATTACATGATATCATAACCCCCAATCATAAAAACCGAGAACATTATACAATTCGTAATTCTAAATTGTGAACAACGTGTCAATAGAATTTTCTTAAGGTGCAATACACTGCTACAACAGAATTAGAAATATTTAAAAGGAATTGCTGGGAATAATAAAAAGGGAATTTGCTATTAATTCCTATGTGAAGATACAAAATTCCTCCTTGAATAATGGAACACATGGGCAATTATTTAATTAACTTATGCCCACTGTTCAAGATATAAATAAGGAGAAGGATGACAAAGTAGAGACCGAAACGAAAGAATAGACGAGAAGATATATACACATTTTTGCCTGTACGAAATTTTGTGAGACAATCTCACCCCCATAAATGTTTCTGTCAAGTCAGGAAAAATTCCTACCGACCAAAAGAATTACTCCGCACCTGCGTCCACCATATATAACAACAATTATGATCAGAAAAAGCCACATCATCGAGACCATATATTACTCTTTGATTTCATGAACCGTGGTTATACAAATAAAACAAAAGATGACATATGTTATTAGTCCTAAAACAAATTCTATAAAATCCACATCACTTAGTTGCAACATATGCCTCGAAAAGAATAGTTTACTCTAAGTTCCCTTCACCATTAACATTTTAAATCTGCAAAGATAAAAGTTCCACTTCTCCAATATACTTATCAAATTCAATTCTCACTCAACCATCTTCAACTTCAAACTGGAAAGTGAAAATGCCTAATTGCAGAAGATTATTATGCTATCTCCATATCTAACAATAACATATTTATTTTTCAATATGTTAATGAAAATTGATTACTAGCCGATAGAACAGTAGAGATTGGTTAATATATCATCTCTGGTGCTTACCCAGAAGATACCTCAAGTCCTGTCACATTGACATGTTAGGTGAAATAAACTATACTGATTAAAAAAAAAAAAAAAAATAACAGCACTTGGTTATTAAATTACCTGTAATTTCAACAACCTGGGCAACAGTTTCTGAACCAGTTGATGGTGACTTCTTGTTAGTTAAAGTTAATGGTGATAGAGGAGGCGATACCATCCCTAAATTGTGTGGCTTGGAAACATCTAAGGAAGTCATTTTATGCTCCCTTGAGGGTATGGAAAAACTACGAGTGATTGCCTCAGGAGGTGTTGGCAGTGGAGACGCTGCATTTGACACCGATGATCTATTGGTAGCGTAAGGCATTTGAACTTTGGGCCTCAAGGGAGCTGAATGACCAACCACCATAGATCTTGAAGACTTGGAAATAGAATTGGCAGGGGGTCTTGGAAGTTCATGAAGCTCACTTATCTTGGGTGAAGACGTAAAAGTAGGGGAAGCACTTGGAGAAATTTTCGGGGATGAGGTTGGTGGTTGAGCTATCGGACTTCGTAAAATTGGTCCAGATAACATTTGGGGATGTTCCTTTGAGACAGTTTTCATAGCTGAGGGTATACTTGTAATTGGACCAGAAAAAGATTGTCTTTTGATTTTTTTATAATCAGAAGCACCTGGAGGATCAAACCGCGAAAATAAAAACCCATCTGCCAAAGGAGGAGGTAGTCGAGTTGATGCAGTATTATTGTTGTTCTCTCTGAGGACAGACTGTGCGAAAGATCTGGAGACTTTCTCATCACTCAAACTTTTATCAAATTTTGTTCGGTCCAAGGGGGATGAATGCCACACATTATGAGTATATCCACTCAAACTTGACTTCACTGGGTGAGGAACTGGACTACCTGGTCCTGAAGAAGTTGAACCCTTTGTAGCTACTGGTGTTGGTAGTACATATGTGTTGAACTTCCGTGAAGATGACGGTTGCATTTGCTTAACCTTGTCAATAGGGTCAGATTTGAATTCAGCAAAAATTGGCGCTGACTGGCTTCCTAGCCTAACATCCCTACTAAAGGAAATGGATCTCCTATAGCCTCTATCCAGATTTTCCTGCAAATATGCCAAAAAAGAAGAATGAAACCATTGATACTTCTTCGCTGCACCTTAAAGATCAGATGCACAAAATATGAAATAACAGAGACAGATTCGTTATTTTTTGTGGTACTGGGGAAGAAAAAACTTGTTTTCTGTTTAGCAGTAACTCAACTATTTCTAGTGGATGAAGTTTATTATATATTCATATGTAACCAAGTATCTAGTAATATCATTTTCAAATCACTTGATTAATGAAATAATTTAATAAAATGGCAAAAAAAATATACTTGAATAAAGGTTATCTGAAGTCAGAAAACCAACTTTTGCTAGGTCAACTGTATGGGTTAATCGTGTATAAGATTACAACTTAGAAAAAACATTATGAAGAAAAAGATCGAATAACTTTCTGATTTGACCCATAGGGCTATGTTTGCATCATATTGATCTTCAATGCATAACCTGATTTCTGTGCACATAAAAATTGTCAATAGAGCAAATTCCTTTACCATTGCAGTCTCCACAGGAGCAACTTGGGGAAATGTAATGTCTGCCTCATCCAACTGCATAAATCAGTATATGGTCAAGTTACAGGTTAAATGTAATTCATCTCTAGACGTAGAAATAAACTATGATCCACAAGGTAACGGTATGATCACTCTATGATGTCCAAAACAGTAATTATATAAATATTCTAGGGGTAGAGTAGTTCTCGACCCTGAAAATAAATGCTGATAGATCAATAAGAAGACAATTTCTGCTTTTCATGCATGAATTAGCTTCACATATACATTCAACTGATCTCCCATTTGCTGCAAAATAAAACATTTGGCATTTGGCATGAAAGTGCTAGATGATTATTAGACTTGTCAGAATTGATGTATGAGCATATTAGTTATCCTAACAATGATTCAAAATGTTAACATACAGGCATATTTGTTATCCTAACAATGATTCAAAATGTTAAGATACAGGCATATTTGTTATCCTAACAATGATTCAAAATGTTAAGATACAGCCATAGTTGTTATCCTAACAATGATTCAAAATGTTAAGATAAAGGCATAGTTGTTATCCTAACAATGATTCAAAATGTTAAGATACAGGCATATTTGTTATCCTAACAATGATTCAAAATGTTAAGTTATGAGCATATTTGTTATCCTAACTATGGTTCAAAATGTAAGATATGAGCATATTTGTTGTCCTAGCGATTTTCAAAATGTTAAGTTATGGGTATATTTATCATCGTAACTATGATCCAAAATGTTAAGATCAGGGCATATTTGTTATCCTAACTATGATTCTAAATGTTAAGTACGGGCATATTTGTTATCCTAGCAATGACTCAAAATATCAAGATATGGCATATATATCATCCCATCTATTATTCAGAATGTTAAGATCGCAAGCATTCAGATGAGTTCTATCCATAAGGGATTAAACAGAGACGAAATTAATTAGCTTTCTCTGCCAGATACAGAATGCATTATGTTTTCACCTCCATTGAGTTTCGCGAAGTAGAAACATTCTCCTGGTCATTTTGTCCATAGTCAAAACTCAATTCCCCGTCACCATGTGTATCAGAGCTTTCATCATCATCATCACCATCATCCCCATCATCATCTTCAAGTCCACTGAACTGGTAATCAATGTGCTGTTGTTCTGTAACCATTTTCACATGTGGCTCTATTGCCTCGAGAGACTTAAGAGCCTTCTTGAAGAAACACATCTGCTTCCAAGCAGAGGAAAAGAAGCATATTAAACATTATCCAACACAAGAACATTTGATAAAGAAGACATGGGAAGAAAAGAAAGTAAAAACCTGAGCAGCATGGTGTCTAGCGGCTTGTGTAAGAAGACTCCGGGATTGTCCTTGCTTCAGAGACTTCAAACGAAAAACAAATAAGGTTGCCTCCTCATCATACTCATCATGAGCTGTTTGCAACTGTTGCATAGAAAAAGTTTCTCCTTTCCCACTTTTTGACCTCCCTTTTTCTCTCTGCCTCATCACCATGTAATCATATACACTTCTGTAGATCATTTACCAATATGAGAAAACAGGTTATCTAAAAGGTTGACTGTGTTCATGTTAGTGCGCACTTAAAAAATAAATTTTGAACCTTTTTTCATCACATTGTCGCTTCATCTCCTGCATCATCATAAAATAACAAATCAATCTTTATGTTAATTTAGTAAAATGCTAAAACAGGCGATACACAAACAATGCTTAATACATGTAAAAAAAAAAAAAACAACAATAAAAATGAAATAGAATCTCCCATGGAAAATTCATTGATTGGGAATGTCATTTTCTAGTTAAGAAAATGGTAAGCCAAAATGTTGGAAGGAATAGTAGCCCTCGTAAAGAAAATATTGAGATGCCTGTAAATTCCAACAAAAAAATGTTCAACAATCATTTCCTATGCATTGAAGAATATATATGTATATCTTCCACAAAATTTAGGGTGTTTGAACACAACTAAAGACCTTGGTTGAGCTGCCGGCATTCTTTGCCTAATTCTAGTTAAATTATTAAACCAAAAGCATGAGCAGCCAGAGCACTTATGAAAAAGAACAACAAATTTCTTGGCAACATAGGATGATAAAAAAGTTAACAGGCAGGTTTTAAGTATGGCATAATACATCAAACTTGCCTGCTATCTCCATATCTAACAATAACATATTTATTTTTCAATATGTTTATGAAAATTGATTACTAGCCGATAGAACAGTAGAGATTGGTTAATATATCATCTCTGGTGCTTACCCAGAAGATACCTCAAGTCCTGTCACATTGACATGTTAGGTGAAATAAACTATACTGATTAAAAAAAAAAAAAAAAATAACAGCACTTGGTTATTAAATTACCTGTAATTTCAACAACCTGGGCAACAGTTTCTGAACCAGTTGATGGTGACTTCTTGTTAGTTAAAGTTAATGGTGATAGAGGAGGCGATACCATCCCTAAATTGTGTGGCTTGGAAACATCTAAGGAAGTCATTTTATGATCCCTTGAGGGTATGGAAAAACTACGAGTGATTGCCTCAGGAGGTGTTGGCAGTGGAGATGCTGCATTTGACACCGATGATCTATTGGTAGCGTAAGGCATTTGAACTTTGGGCCTCAAGGGAGCTGAATGACCAACCACCATAGATCTTGAAGACTTGGAAATAGAATTGGCAGGGGGTCTTGGAAGTTCATGAAGCTCACTTATCTTGGGTGAAGACGTAAAAGTAGGGGAAGCACTTGGAGAAATTTTCGGGGATGAGGTTGGTGGTTGAGCTATCGGACTTCGTAAAATTGGTCCAGATAACATTTGGGGATGTTCCTTTGAGACAGTTTTCATAGCTGAGGGTATACTTGTAATTGGACCAGAAAAAGATTGTCTTTTGATTTTTTTATAATCAGAAGCACCTGGAGGATCAAACCGCGAAAATAAAAACCCATCTGCCAAAGGAGGAGGTAGTCGAGTTGATGCAGTATTATTGTTGTTCTCTCTGAGGACAGACTGTGCGAAAGATCTGGAGACTTTCTCATCACTCAAACTTTTATCAAATTTTGTTCGGTCCAAGGGGGATGAATGCCACACATTATGAGTATATCCACTCAAACTTGACTTCACTGGGTGAGGAACTGGACTACCTGGTCCTGAAGAAGTTGAACCCTTTGTAGCTACTGGTGTTGGTAGTACATATGTGTTGAACTTCCGTGAAGATGACGGTTGCATTTGCTTAACCTTGTCAATAGGGTCAGATTTGAATTCAGCAAAAATTGGCGCTGACTGGCTTCCTAGCCTAACATCCCTACTAAAGGAAATGGATCTCCTATAGCCTCTATCCAGATTTTCCTGCAAATATGCCAAAAAAGAAGAATGAAACCATTGATACTTCTTCGCTGCACCTTAAAGATCAGATGCACAAAATATGAAATAACAGAGACAGATTCGTTATTTTTTGTGGTACTGGGGAAGAAAAAACTTGTTTTCTGTTTAGCAGTAACTCAACTATTTCTAGTGGATGAAGTTTATTATATATTCATATGTAACCAAGTATGTAGTAATATCATTTTCAAATCACTTGATTAATGAAATAATTTAATAAAATGGCAAAAAAAATATACTTGAATAAAGGTTATCTGAAGTCAGAAAACCATCTTTTGCTAGGTCAACTGTATGGGTTAATCGTGTATAAGATTACAACTTAGAAAAAACATTATGAAGAAAAAGATCGAATAACTTTCTGATTTGACCCATAGGGCTATGTTTGCATCATATTGATCTTCAATGCATAACCTGATTTCTGTGCACATAAAAATTGTCAATAGAGCAAATTCCTTTACCATTGCAGTCTCCACAGGAGCAACTTGGGGAAATGTAATGTCTGCCTCATCCAACTGCATAAATCAGTATATGGTCAAGTTACAGGTTAAATGTAATTCATCTCTAGACGTAGAAATAAACTATGATCCACAAGGTAACGGTAGATCACTCTATGATGTCCAAAACAGTAATTATATAAATATTCTAGGGGTAGAGTAGTTCTCGACCCTGAAAATAAATGCTGATAGATCAATAAGAAGACAATTTCTGCTTTTCATGCATGAATTAGCTTCACATATACATTCAACTGATCTCTCATTTGTTGCAAAATAAAACATTTGGCATTTGGCATGAAAGTGCTAGATGATTATTAGACTTGTCAGAATTGATGTATGAGCATATTAGTTATCCTAACAATGATTCAAAATGTTAACATACAGGCATATTTGTTATCCTAACAATGATTCAAAATGTTAAGATACAGGCATATTTGTTATCCTAACAATGATTCAAAATGTTAAGATACAGCCATAGTTGTTATCCTAACAATGATTCAAAATGTTAAGATAAAGGCATAGTTGTTATCCTAACAATGATTCAAAATGTTAAGATACAGGCATATTTGTTATCCTAACAATGATTCAAAATGTTAAGTTATGAGCATATTTGTTATCCTAACTATGGTTCAAAATGTAAGATATGAGCATATTTGTTGTCCTAGCGATTTTCAAAATGTTAAGTTATGGGTATATTTATCATCGTAACTATGATCCAAAATGTTAAGATCAGGGCATATTTGTTATCCTAACTATGATTCTAAATGTTAAGTACGGGCATATTTGTTATCCTAGCAATGACTCAAAATATCAAGATATGGCATATATATCATCCCATCTATTATTCAGAATGTTAAGATCGCAAGCATTCAGATGAGTTCTATCCATAAGGGATTAAACAGAGACGAAATTAATTAGCTTTCTCTGCCAGATACAGAATGCATTATGTTTTCACCTCCATTGAGTTTCGCGAAGTAGAAACATTCTCCTGGTCATTTTGTCCATAGTCAAAACTCAATTCCCCGTCACCATGTGTATCAGAGCTTTCATCATCATCATCACCATCATCCCCATCATCATCTTCAAGTCCACTGAACTGGTAATCAATGTGCTGTTGTTCTGTAACCATTTTCACATGTGGCTCTATTGCCTCGAGAGACTTAAGAGCCTTCTTGAAGAAACACATCTGCTTCCAAGCAGAGGAAAAGAAGCATATTAAACATTATCCAACACAAGAACATTTGATAAAGAAGACATGGGAAGAAAAGAAAGTAAAAACCTGAGCAGCATGGTGTCTAGCGGCTTGTGTAAGAAGACTCCGGGATTGTCCTTGCTTCAGAGACTTCAAACGAAAAACAAATAAGGTTGCCTCCTCATCATACTCATCATGAGCTGTTTGCAACTGTTGCATAGAAAAAGTTTCTCCTTTCCCACTTTTTGACCTCCCTTTTTCTCTCTGCCTCATCACCATGTAATCATATACACTTCTGTAGATCATTTACCAATATGAGAAAACAGGTTATCTAAAAGGTTGACTGTGTTCATGTTAGTGCGCACTTAAAAAATAAATTTTGAACCTTTTTTCATCACATTGTCGCTTCATCTCCTGCATCATCATAAAATAACAAATCAATCTTTATGTTAATTTAGTAAAATGCTAAAACAGGCGATACACAAACAATGCTTAATACATGTAAAAAAAAAAAAAACAACAATAAAAATGAAATAGAATCTCCCATGGAAAATTCATTGATTGGGAATGTCATTTTCTAGTTAAGAAAATGGTAAGCCAAAATGTTGGAAGGAATAGTAGCCCTCGTAAAGAAAATATTGAGATGCCTGTAAATTCCAACAAAAAAATGTTCAACAATCATTTCCTATGCATTGAAGAATATATATGTATATCTTCCACAAAATTTAGGGTGTTTGAACACAACTAAAGACCTTGGTTGAGCTGCCGGCATTCTTTGCCTAATTCTAGTTAAATTATTAAACCAAAAGCATGAGCAGCCAGAGCACTTATGAAAAAGAACAACAAATTTCTTGGCAACATAGGATGATAAAAAAGTTAACAGGCAGGTTTTAAGTATGGCATAATACATCAAACTTGCCATTGGATGCTCAGGTCAAAAACCAAAGAGTCCATAAAGCACAAACCTCAACTGTTCGAAGTTCATTAAGAAGAGACTCTGACGGGACTGTGATTGTCTGGAAGATATGAGAGCGCTGGAATATGAAAATAATTATTATTACCAGGGTAGGGTCAGATATACATTTTTGTGACAGCTTAAAGTTAAAAAAAAAAAAAAGAAGACTCACATAGTTATCAACAAGTTTCTGGAGTTCAAACTGCACTTTTCCCAGCATTAGCAAAACTTTTCCTGAACAGAAACACAAAGAACTTAATCTTTTCATTTTCTCTCTTTCTGAATGCTGAGAAACAACATATGAAATTGAAAACCAAGAAATAACTTATTTTGGAGTAAGAAGACCAAGTAATAACTTGTCATTAAATAATTACAACTGTCTGAATCATAACAAGAACAAGAATATGAAACAATTCGCAATTTCCATGTTGGAGAAACATCAACTTCATTGTGAATGTAGCTTCACAGTGGATGAGCAAATGAATTATTCCATTTGAAGAATACTTAAAACATCATCAATAGAGAGTGAAGTTATTTTACATAATCAGAGACATCAGTTAAGATGTGGTTTACAGAGTACAAATTCACAAAAATATGGTAAGCACTATGGTTTGTACTAGCTTCAAACAAATGTTAAATTCTGAGGCCTAATAACTCTTCTCCTTATAAGATTTGAGGAGTGCAACAAAGGCAAATAAATAAATAAAATAGGAGTAAATCTCTACATTTAAAAATGTATATTCAAACAGATACCAGAACTAAATATGAACCTACAAATAAAAATTCATCTTTTCATAAAATTCTATCAAATTAAATCTTAAGGTGAAACAGAAAAACTACTAAAATAAATTATCCCAGGATATATGTTCACAATGGATTATCAAATGAAAATATAGCAGAAGGGCAAGTTAAATTCACTTACCACTTTCTTCATTATCATTCAACGCAGTTTTCTCAAGAAGACAGGCACCCATTTCCTGCAATGACTCCGAGAATTCTGAGAGAAAAAGGAACACATAGTATAATTCTTGAGATCACCCAAAAGTACTAAACAGAGATTATAAGATAATGCTAATATACTAAACGGAGATTAAAATCATCATGCTAGCTTTCTTTACGCAAACAGATAATACTACAAATATGAGAATTTAGTTACCATAAGCACTATTTGCCGTTGCTGCAGCTGCCGAAAGTAAGCTATCATAGCAGTCTCTCATGTCATGCATATCCTACAAACACACAATCCGAGTTAATAAAAGCATATATGTATTTACATGGTTAAATTATTATAATTAACCATTCAATTTTTTCCCCTTTCCACAACATGCCTCAACGATAATGATGCTGCTAAAAGCTTCAATTTAGCATTGAACAATCATCCAGATCCAGAACCAACTCTAAAAGTTTAATTATCTTATAATTAAATAAAAGCAGAACATAAATGATTCACTTTCTTCTAAATTCATGAACATTAACACATTTCACAAAAGATAACCCTAACCGCACGTTTGGCAACTGGAAATGAAAAAAAAAATCGTATCGTTCAATTTTTTCACGGAGCAAATGAACAAAACAAATTGCACAAAGAAAAGAGGTGTACCTGATAAGCCAGAGCGAACTCGTCCAATTGAGCGAGAGGGCGAAGATCTCTTCGGTCCTTAGAATCATGGTGCCTGTGATGAAATGTGAAGCCTCGAAATCTTCTCAGCGAAGTCTTCATTCTTGATTTGATTTCCACACCTTTCTTTCTTCTTCTTTTCAAGGCCTCAGGGAAACGAAAATGATAAAATTTTCTCCTCTTCTTGTTGTGTTGGTCGCGAATCTAGATAGCACAATTTTTATTTTTATTTTTATTTTTCTTTTAAATGAAATGATACAATTTCTATCTTTCAAAGTTCAAACTACATTCCCGGTAGGGTTACGTCATAAAATAAAATAAAATATATTATCAGTAACATTGATTTGTTGTTTCTTGACTTCTTGGTACCTTAGACTCCGGTTTTTTTTTTTTTCGTTTTTTTTTTTAAATAATAATAATTTCTGTTGTTTTATGGTAAACTGGTTAAAAGTCATACGTCATTAATAGAGAAGTTGAAGTTTAATTAGATAATGTGAGTCGCTATCTTGTACCAAATAAAGGTAATTATAGCCACTTAATCTTCATCAAGCTCCAATTTTCCCTTGTTATTGGAGAAGAAGATATTTTAAGACAGTGCAATTTATTGACCAAAATATATGGAAGTTATTATATAATTAAATGAAAATGATATATTAATAATTCATGTAACATTCACTTATGTCATACATAATACTTTTTAATTTATAATAATTTAAGTAATTTAAAAGATTAAAAAAAAAAATGTCACCGAGTTGACTGCCGAGTATTAGGTGATGACAAACTAACAAAGCGATGTTGCTTTTTTTCCCATAAAATTAGAAATGTTTTCCACAAAATTCAAATGTGTGATGGGGCCATGATTATTTAATTGGAATTAGATGAGCAACAATCAAGCCCAAAAGAACACACGAATTGAACGAAATAATTAGGGAAGACGGAAGACTGGAGACTTTCTCCGGTCAACAAAACGCGTTTCTTGGAGATTAAGGATCTGTAAATGTAAATGCTTCTGCATCTTCAAATTCAGAAAAAAAAAAAAAAAAAAAGCCCACAAAAAAGGGCTTCTGCATGCTTTTTAAGAAGTTTCATGTGTATTTGGCCACATCCACATCCACATGTTGGCATTAATATTATACTATGACGAGAAATTCAACAATAGTGGAGCCGTTGAAGTTTGTGTTGAGAAATTTGGACCAAAATTCAAAGCAATAACAGAGCGTGGGGGGCAAACATTATGAAATACCTGTATCGCATTTCCATAATACATAGTGTAGTGAGGGGCAAATGATCAGTATGGGACTGTAAGGTTTGACGATTGCGTATGCGTAGATCTTGATGGGACCCTTTAGCTTCTAGACAAAAACCAACCAGCCAATTAGATTTGATTAGATTGGGCATTGGTCAAAACTCCAGTGTTCGATGTCTAATATCTTATTCTTGGGTGTGTTCTATCGTGGTGAAGTGGGTAATCATTTGGTCCCAACACCACCAAAGCAAAAAGGTCCAAAACAAGAGGTTGAAACCGCAACTCTAAAGACTAAAACCATCTCATCTAACAAGAGCTTTCAAGTTCAAAAGCTTGAAAACAAGTTGGCTATTGAGATTAATTGAATTATCCATATTTTGCTTTTTCAGACAAAGATCAAAAAATTATTCATACCCATCAGATTTTCCGGATACAGCTCTCATAAAATATGATTAATTAATCTCAGAAGCACAAGAAATGTTTGAATTCTGGGGTTTGGTTGGTTAAAAGGGACAGATGTTAAATTTAGAGTGAAAGCCATCATAAGAAAAAAAGATAATAACTAGAATTTCAGAGACTACTTCAATTCTAAAAAATTGGCATTAATGAAGCCCAGTGGTTATAATTTTTTTTTATGCATCTAGTGGAGAACCAGAAAAACGTAACAGGATATATTGCACAACTGAAAGCGGAGAAAAGAATGCTGATGACCCAAATAAAAAAGGGCTGCACACGGCGCATCTTTCACATGGCTTCTAAAGCTAGTAAGCAATTTCTCGTATATGCTCTTATGAAACAATGGTTAAATTCTCAAACAAAGAAACAAATATAGGCAAAACGTTTATAACGGGCCATAGGCCTACGGCGTCAGGCGAATGAATGATTATTGACAAAACATTTTGAGACAAGATAAGGAAAGAACATAAAAGAAAAAATCAAGCACAGGCATAGCACCATCTCTTTTTTTTTAAAAAAAAAAATTCATAATTAATTGAAGGGTATAATGATGCTACATCTATTGGTGCATAAATTCAATATCCATTTTTCTGTAACTGTATCATTTTTCAAAAGAAAAATAGTCTCTTTATCTTTTCAATTTTACTTAGAAGGGAAACAATAAGTGCTCTTCAACATCAGAAGAATGCTCTTGTATTCATGTTCAATCTTTGTTCAATGGCTTCCATTAGAATACTAGTAATACAGAAGCCACACGTTTTAGCCATAATTTTAATTATAGGGTAAAATACATGAACAGGATTTTAGATTTTTTTTTTTTTTTTTACCAGTTATGATCCATGGTAGTTAAGTAAATACAAAAAGTTCAGCAATAAGGAGTAACGTTACCCACTTAGCAATTTCCGGATCAAAGTACTGGAACTCCTGCTGGTTTTTCATCCACATATAGTATAATTACAGAAAATCAGACACATTAAGTCAGGAAACCTGACCACGCAACCATATACTTCTTTTTCAATGGTTAATCCAATATTATTAAACTTAAAAAACACCGGCAACCCCTTAATAATCCTGCATCAGCCTCGCCTAAGAATTCTAACAATCCAAAAGAAGTACAAATGCATTCAAAACCTCAGATCAATAAATTGCTTATGGCCACAAAATCACCAGTTTGTATAGAAACGAAGTATCATGTAATGACAAGCTCAGTAAACAGGAAACTCCATACATAGAGATTCCAAATAAAACTTATTTTGGCTTCCACGATTTGAACATGTTACAAATTGATTGCCACATTAACATGACAAAACAGAGCAACAAAATTTCCCGTCATCATCAACAATCTCTGAATTATTTAGAAAGAAATTCCTCCCCAAAAGAGCTGAGAAGGGGAAAAAATGTACGATCCCTCTACCTGTTCCTGAAAAAGTTTTTTTTTGTTGGTTTGTCAGATATATCAAAGAACAAATAAACTAAAACCCAAGTTACGAGCTTTTAATCAACAGCTACAAGAAAAAAGCGTCTAGACAAAACTACTTCACGAAAGAGACAACAATAAAACCAACCTGGAGTTGACACCACTTATGGGCTCAATCAGTAAAACTATGCAACTGCAGCCATTGGCACAGATCGATAGCATGCTCTCTTTGCAGCACGGACAATATCTTCAACCTGCAAAAACAATGAACCAAGAAAATAAGTTATAACAAAAACAGTAACTGGCATTAAAAAAAACCTCTTTAACCTAAATACACATCTAATATATCAATTTCCATAAGATACTAAGACATAGATCATGCTTTCAAAACATCTACCAACAGTAAGATGGCCTGTAGCTGAATGCATCAGAAGCAAGTAAAAGTGATCAAACAAGAAGAATAGTAGAAACATAGATGACCTGTGGGACAGCCATTCTCTCAAGATTGGCGGCATATGGCATGGGTACATCAGCTCCAGCAATCCTCTCAACCGCTGCATCAAGATATCCAAAGCTCTCTTCAACAACAGAAGCGCTGTTTGGAGAAAAAAGCATATTCAGCAAGTGTATCAAGGCACCTGAAAACTGATCAGCAGAATTTAAATATCTAAGTGGGAAGAAAACAAACCAGATTTCAGCACCAACTCCATGTTGAGGGAACCCTTCTTCAACTGTTACCAGTCTGTTCGTTTTCCTGACCGAAGCATTAATTGTGGCTCTATCTAGTGGCCTGATTGAGCGCAAGTTTATTACCTATATTAACAGAATCAGTTATCAAATCCTATGAACTAAAAACGAGACATTTGGAAGTACATATTGATCATTCCGGTATCAATATACCTCAGCGCTGATTCCTTCCTTTGCCAGTATCTCAGCAGCCTGAACAAGAAGCAATAAAAATATACCCAATGAATAAAAGAATAATATCACCGAACTGACGTAATTCAAAAGGAAACTTTTCAATGGAATTGCATGAGTTAATCGCAGATGAACTAAAAGCGCAGCAATATTCACCGGCTTATGAGATATATAGTATCATGGTCCAGTTATTTATGTAAATGAAAATATAAAAATATAAAACAAACCAGGTGAAACAAAAAAGTTATTTAAGGTGTTGTTGATATGAGCCTGAGCCCAAATCTTCATATAATGTTAAATCAAAGAAAGGCACTAAGGCTTTTTTAGATACCCATCTAACAACTCAAACAATTGAGCTAGGCAGTGGGCCTTTTCATGGCTTGGGTAAAACTCTCTTTGAAAAACTGGCTTGCCAAGGGAGGGTGCCCAAGCCCTTATAAACCCACATGCCCACCCTTTTCCCTTCTAATGTAGGATCCTAACACACCACCACGCTTCCGCAACCAAAGTCCACGTCGGCCTCTTTACCCCCCATAAGCCTTTTTACCCCTTGGGTGACTACGCGGATCACTTTTCGCTCAGGCCTCCATGCCCTTTCTTGGGGTAGCAGCCCGGGCCTAAGTTAAGCCTGCCACAAGTCAGCATGCCATGCATGCACTACCACGTAGGCACAAGATCATGTTTTGATACAATTTGACAGATACCCATCTAACAACTCAAACAATTAAGCTGGGCGGGGGGCCTTTTGTGGGCTTGGGTAGCTCTCCTTGAAAAACTGGCTTGCCAAGGGAGGGTGCCCAAGCCTTATAAACCCACATGCCCACTCTTTTCCCTTCCAATGTGGATCATAACAGACTTTTCCCCGTATTCACTTCCATTACTGTTAAGGATCCTGAAGAATGCCACATCATGGGTGCTTATAAAGTCTCATTCACCCAAACCATTTAGAACATCCTATTTTACTTTCGATTGTCAAAACCATTATAAGGTACACAATATTACTTACGTGCCTCCGAAGACAAATTTTCTTTCAATAGATTGAATCTAATTACTCAAAATACAGCACATAATACAAGATGATAATACTGCAGTCTGCATTTAAAAGAGCTACAGAATGGCAAAACAAACCTTAAGTGAAAAGCCCACCATCTTTGAGAAAGCTGTGATAGTTACATCCTTTCCTTCTCTCTCGATCTGTTAGATGTAGATAATTGCAAGGTAAATATAAGTGTAAAGACAATACAACATAATAAAATGTGAGAAACAAAGAACCACTAATGGCAGAGACATCAACAGCAAGCAAGACTCAACAGAAGCTCCAAGGGTTCAGGACCATTACCTTAGCTTTTCCAATTGGAAGGCAAAAACTAGAATCAAGAACTTCAGCTGAAACAGGGAATGACTCGCCATATCTGAAGCACAAAATTTCCAGTTCACAAAATCTTTGTAAAAGAAAACTGATGATTCCTAATTATACATTATAATCGAATACTGAGCTAAACTACTTACAGCAACTCATTTTCGAGGAAAACAACAGGATCGGGATCCCTTATAGCGGCTTTTAGCAGTCCACGGGCATCTTCTGAACTATACGGAGACAGTACTTTCAACCCAGGGCAAGAGGCATACCAAGCTGCATAACACTGTAGAGGAAGCCAAAAGAAGCATTATTGAATACTTGGCCCCCATTAACTGAAAACCAAATGTGCATTAGAAAAATCATAAGCAATTAAGGGTGAACACAGGGTCTCATACAGGATATAAATAGACACAATTTAGATTTGGAAGGAAAAGATAACTAATAAGGTGATAGGATAAAAAGAATATTTGGGGATCCATACGTGAGAGTGTTGAGCACCAACTCCAGCAGCAGCACCATTAGGCCCTCTGAAAACAATGGGAACATTTATCTGGCCAGCAGACATGTAATTTGATTTTGCAGCAGAATTTATGATGTGGTCAATCGCCTGTAATAGAATCAATAACAGCTATCAACAAGAGATATTCATCAAAAGAAATATCATTAGGAAATACTACAAACGTAAACAGTGAAAATCATATTAAGCAGGTATTAAAATCCATCACTGCCAATGTAAAAGATTGACACAACATAGAAGTGGAATTATAAATGCTATGCCCATGCCTCAATCATCCCATAGTTTACAAGGATTTTATTACTAAAATTGCAATTACAATGATAAGATCACGAAACACAAATATCCTACTTAATCATTTCAGAACATCAAAGGGTCGTTTGGTTTGTTATTTTGGATAGGATTTTGAAAATAATATTAAGTAGTTGAATAGGGTGATTATTACGAGATAAAATTTAAAAATTAACAAAAAAAACCCCTAGGTTTGCTAATTTAACTAAACACCCCAATATATAAAAATTTTGTAAAATGACAAAAACACCCCCACCCACCAACAGTGCCAGATTCCGACCACCACCACCGGAATTTGGTCAGAATCTGGCGTTACGACGCAAACCGGTCTGATCTGGCCGGTCGTGCGTCGATCTGACCTTTTCCGGATCTGGCCATCGACGGCCGCAAAAGGCCAGATCCACTGTGGATTTGGCCGGAAAAGGCCAGATCGGCGAATTACAGGCCAGTTCTGGTCGTTTGTAGGCCGTTGTGACAGATTCCGACTACCACCGACGGTGGTTGCCGGAATCTGGCAACTATGGGTGGGTGGGGGTGTTTTTGTTCATTTTTAAACTTTTTTTCTGGGGGTGTTTAATTAAATTAATAAACTTAAGGGGTCTACAAATAATTAAACAAAATATAATAGTATTTCCTAAATAATTAAACAAATAGTTACTTTGAGAATAGGATTGGGAATAGGGTATGAAATAATAAACCAAACGGACCCAATATTCGTTTCCAAATAAAATGCTTTAACTAAGCATATATGATTCTAGCCTTTGTGAGAATAGACTAGCAGTTTAATAAACTATAGGCAATCTAACATGGAACCAACTGACCTGCATGGCGAAGTTAAACGTCATAAACTCCACAACAGGCTTGAGACCATAGTAAGCAGCCCCAACTCCAATCCCAGTGAAACCAGCCTGTAAAGCCATGTAACAAAAATTAAAATGCGCAAACAATTGTCACCAAGAACTGAAACAATTAAATTCAATATCATTATTATTAACGATTGATATAAGCTTTAGCAGTAAACTACACCGAGAGAGGGAGATAATCATCACTAATTCCTCAACTGATTTAGTAACAACAAACGATAATCAAGTCAAATAAAAGCAATAACCTCGGTGATTGGGGTATCAAGGACCCTCTCAGGACCATACTTGTCCAAAAGCCCTTTGGATATCTGTACAAAACAAAAAGTAAAATCTGATAAGCAGAAGAAAGTAGATACACTTGCTGGCCTTGAAAAAACACAGAGAATTAAAGATTATCTGCTCAAGAAGAAAGTCTAACCTTGTAAGCACCCTGATATTCCCCAACCTGCACTCAAAAGGCATAAATGAAATTAATAACATAAATAAAAAAGAAAGAACTTTATACAAAACATAATTCCTGATCATTTCTCCTCACCTCTTCACCCATCAGGAAAACTTTAGGATCCGCAGACATCTCCTCATCAAGTGCAGAGTTCAAAGCCTCTCTAACATTGATCTGCTCCCACAAAATCAATAATTCAGTTATTTTAGGAGGTAAAACAGCATGCCTTAAAGCAGAAAGACTAAAACAAAAGATGAATTCTCCAATAACATCTCCCAAAACAGACTAACACTTTTTTAACACGAAAAGAAAAGGAAATATACATAAGAATTACAAAAAATAAACATGTAACTTCTCAAATCCAGATAGTTAAAAGCCATATAAAAAACACTGTCCTCTAACAAAATTCCATAACCAATATGAACAAAAAGAGACATAATACTCAATGTCAACTATATATGAACATAAAACAAACATATCATCCTAATGCCAAATTCAAAACAAAATGCAAAAACTATAAGGTAGAAGGCACAATCACCTCTTTAGCTGCAGACGAATAACTCCTCAACGCCGACGCCACCGGACGTATTCTCTGATAAAAGAAAAATGAAATAAAAAATAAAAACATTAAAGCCTATAAAATAACACAAAATTAAAAAAAAAAAAAAAAAAATTCTGAAAAAGGCGTACCATAGCCGGAGAAAGACCAGCAGTCATTTTCTGTCTAATAATTCCCAACATGTTTATCTCTTTCCTTTAAAAGCTGCTCCAATTAACAACAACATAAATTAAAAATTGTTAGAACAAAATATTATTAAGAAATTAATTAATACGCAAATCAAACGAATGACTGGTGTTAGGTATTAAGCAATAAAATCGAGCTCAAAAGAAAGCAAGAAAAATGAAATCTAACGAAGAGATTTGAACGCAGACGCACCTCGTTTGGTTGTTTGAAATGGCTAAAGACGAAAATTAGCAACGATCCGATCGCCGAAAAGAGTTATTATGAAATGAGCAGACCTACCACTACTTAGAACTGATATTAATTTTTATTTTTTATTTTTTATTTTAATTATTTTATATTTCCATTTAGAGCCTTTAGACCAATCTTTTCTTTTCTTTAGCATTTTGTAGTTTTGCTTTGCCTTTCGCGGATAACTATCACATGAGCTGAGATTTAGAGTAGGCATTTTTCGTCACTTACATTGCCTAGTCATTGTGCGGTCAAGATTTGATCTTACGTCACCTAGGGTACAATCAGTCGGTTAACATTCATAAAGATCTAACAATTTTTTGAACGGTCTAAATACATTGGACATACCAGTGCCGTTAACCTGATTAATTATTTTTAAAATGATGATAGATGTAATATTCCAATCTAATCAAATATTTTTTTAAAGATAAGATATCTTAAGTAACAGTTATTATGATCTCTGTTGCAGAGAATAATTGCCTCCAATGCCGATTCGTTGAATATGGTGGGTGTACCTATTGGATTCGCCAATGGCCTGCACTTCGAAATATCTTTTGCTAGTTTAATACCAGTTTTTGGACATGTAACAGGGACGTTGTGGTCATTTACGAAAGTATATGAGGGCATATTTGGTAGAGCACTACTGAGCGGGGTCAAAAAATGAGAAACTGAATGTGACACTTGAAGGACCCACAGTGCCGCAGAGAATAATCAACAAACGACAGCCGTTGATGAAGAAATTTAACGCTGAATAAAAAAACAGTGAAAGTAGGTGAGGTAGGGTGTGCGCACCGAACAACCACCCGAAACGTTCCTAACTACTAACCAATTGGGGAATGTACTAACCAAACCAACCTTGGTTTGGGTCTATTCATGTTTTTATAATTTTAGCATACAACTCATTCAAACACGGTTAGAAATTCTTTTTGTCAACCTTGGTGTTCTATGGAGAATTTCTTCATGTTATTTTAACTTTGTTTTTTGGTTGATTTATCAATAGTACCGTTGATGTTGAAAACTCGTAGGCTTGGGCCTCTGGTCTTTTCACGCTCAATGCCTCCAATTCTAGGAGTCTTCTCACCCTGCTATCTTCCTACGAGCACAAACATAGGTCAAAGGGGCTAGTAGGAGTACTACTGGCGGCTAGGTAAATCACGAAAAAGTAAAACTGAAAATTTGATCACCTATTAGGTCTATCAAGGCTTGTATAATATATTTAATATGTTTATACAAGGATAAACTTATTAGTAAGTGTTCATTGGTGTTTTCAAGAGGGTTAAGTAAGGAAAAAGCATGCTTTCTATCTACTTCTTTGTTTTGTTTTCTACTTGGCTAAATTTAACCAAAAGTCGTTGCTTTATACTCAGCTTGGGTTACGCCACATGCCTACCTTGTGACTTCGCCTAGGTGGCACTCCTACAACACCTTAGCTGGTCAACGACACTTTCGTTATTAACTTGTTTACAAGCAATAAATACAGTGTAGCTTAACAAAGATTGAGTATGTCTTCGTCTCTAAATGAATCTTTATATGACTTAAACTCTTTATTATAAATAGTTTATTTATAAAAACAAGAGTTTAGTAGTCTCTTTATTTTTTAAATATAAGAACATCTTTAAATGACTTTTTATATGACCCAAACTCTTTATTATAAAGAGTCTATTTATAAAAATAAGAGTTTAATAGACTCTTTATCCTTTAAATATAAATTAAAGAGTGAGTTTGACTTTTCACATCTATAGAGTCAAATTTCACTCTCTATCCTAATTTTAACTAATAAACTACAAGTTTCTATGCATTTAATTTGTTAATTATCTCTCATATTAAGTCTCTTTCTTGAAAATAAAGAGCATCTTCATTAAATTTAAAGAGCCAATTGGATTTGAATGAAAATTTTGTTTATTATATTTAAAAATTAATGAAGATGCTCTTTATTTATATGAAATATGTTTTTTAAAATAAAGAGTATCATTGGAGATGCTCTAAATTAAATAGTGAGTTTGACTCTTCATATTTAGAGAGTCAAATTTCACTCTCTATCCTAGTTTTAATTAATAAATTATAAGTTTCAATATATTTCATTTATTAATTTTCTCTCCTAGTAACTCTATTTCTATGCATTGGCTCTCTACATCTAGTGAGTCTATTGGATTTGAATAAAAAATTTGTTTTTTATATTTAGAAATTAACGAATATACTCCTTATTTCTATGAAAGATGTTCTTTAAAATAAAGAGCACCATTAGAGATGCTCTTTAAAATAAAGAGCATCATTAGAGATGCTCTTAATAAGAACAAAATTTTTATTCAAATCCAATAGACTTTCTAGATGCGAAGAGCCAATGCATAGAAAGAGACTTATAACATCTCCAAAAGACTCTTTATATGACCCAAACTCTTTATTATAAATAGTTTGTTCATAAAAACAAGAGTCTAATAGACTCTTTTTCCTTTGAATATAAATCAAAGAATGAGTTTGGCTCTCTAAATCTAAAGAGTCAGAGCATCCTCAAAAGACTCTTTACATGACCTAAACTCTTTATTATAAAGAGTTTTTTCACAGAAATAAAAGTCATACATACTCTTTATTCTTTAAATATAAATTAAAGAGTGAATTTGACTCTCCATATTTAGAGAGTTTGGAGAGTCAAATTTCACTTTCTATCCTAATTTCAAATAATAAATTGCAAGTTTCTATGCATTTTATTTATGATTTATCTCTCCTATTAAATTTCTTTCTTGAAAAAAAATATTCTCTGTCTTAAAATTTAAAGAATCTATTGTATTGAAGATACAGTCCACTTCAGTATACTCCAGCTTAGCTCAACTTATCAAGTATAGCTTATTAATGTTGCTTTAGTTAAATGTAACTATAGTTAACTAAATTAGTTGAGTTGGTTCAGTTAGTTAGAGTTTATTTCTGCTTAAAGTGTATTGTACAACATTATTCGATAATATGAAGAAAACTCCTCTTTCTACAACTTTCCTCTCTAACGAAAATCTTATATGGTATCAGAGCTTAAGGTTTGATCTCCTAAGAATTCACTTCCTTTCGTCAATAATTGATCTTGATTAGCTCATCAATTTCTCTGATCTGGTTTAAGCTTAAACCTATTATGCACAATCAGCTTACAATGATGAATTCCAACAGTGAATCAATGATGAATCTCTCAAACACGAACTCGCCACTGTATATTCATTCATCTGATACTCCGAGGGCTGTTTTGGTAACTGAACAACTTACAGTTACTGAAAATTATAGAATCTAGAGCAGAACCATGACAGTCTCACTTAGGGCTACAAAAAACTTGGTTTTGTTGATGGTCCATGCAAGAAACCATCCGATTTGAGCTTAGGAGCACAGTAGGAACGATGCAATTCACTAGTCTTGGCGTGGATCTTTAATGCAGTATCAAAAGAGATATTCAATGGCATCGGAAATTCCACTAATGCGTATCAAGTTTGGCAGGATCTACAAGAGCAATATCATAAAGTGAGTGGTACAAGAATCTATGGAATCCATCAAGAGATTGTTAATCTCACACAAGGTACTACGTCCGTAGCCATCTATTACAACAAATTAAAAGCGTTGTGGGATGAATTGAGTTCACTAATTAGTTTACCACCACCTAATAGTATATTGGCTAAGGCTTACCTTGAGCATTTAAACCAACAGAGATTACTACAATTTCTAATGGGATTAAATGACACTTATTTTATGGTTCAAAGCCAAATCCTATTGATGTCACCTCTGCCCTCTGTAAAACAAGCATATTCTGTTGTCAATTAAGATGAAAGTCAGAGAATACTGTCGGGAAATAATAGTGGCTTAGAGGCAACCACTGCTTTATATGCACAAAACACACAGAAATAGCAAAACCACAATCCCAAATATAAAGGGAAAAAACCTTATATAGAGTGTAAGTTTTGTCATCTACCAGGGCACAAAAGGGATACATGTTATAAAATTCATGGTTATCCAACTGATTACAAAGGGAAGAATGGATCAAAGAACAGGGCACAACTAATCAAGCACATACATAGCCTGATACAACCTCTAACACTTCTGTGGAATCACCAAAAGGTTCAAATTCATTAGGTATAATTCTTTCGGTAGAACAATACTCCCAACCACTTCAACTTTTTGGAAGGAGAATATCTCAGCATCAGCTAATGTGGTAGGTATAGCTACATCACTTTTATCTTGTTTTAATAACACTACAAGTTGCATTATAGATTTAAGGGCAACAGATCATATGACTAGTAGATTGTCTAGCTTAAATGCACCTATTGACACAACTTCTCACCCAAAAACTTATGTGGGCCTACCAAATGGAACCAAAACCAAAATTAAGCACATTGGATCTATTAGGATAGATGATATGATTAGTCTAGATCATGTATTGCATTTGCCAAACCTCAAATATAATCTGTTCTCTGTTTCTAAATACACTTCATCTAATAATTGTGCAATTACCTTTTACCCTGGTTTTTGTTTAATCCAGAACCTCTAGAGTGGCAGGTTGAAGGGGATTGGTAAAAAATTTCAAGGCTTATATTTTCATGTGCCCTTCACACAATCATCACTCCACAACCTTGACATCAAAACCCTGGCCAAAATGCTTTCTACACTGAGTGTTTGCAATACAGTAATAAACAAAGTTTCAATTCCTAGTTCTAGTGCAATTTCTTATTTCAATGTTTGATATAAAAGATTGGGGCATGTCCCAAATCCTATTCTAAAACAAATGGTTAATAATTTGCTAATTGACAATTCTTCACATTGTCAAATCTGTCATTTGGCAAAACAAACTAGGACACCTTTTCCTTTAAGTCAAAGTATTTCAAAATTAGCTTTTGATCTTTTGCATATGGATGTATCGGGCCCCTATAAGGTACCTACTTTTGGAAATGTAAGATTTTTTCTTACAATTATGGATGATTGCACTAGAGTGACATGAATTTTCTTAATGCAATTTAAATCTGATGTTTTTCAGTTGCTTAAAAATTTCCTAATCATGGTACAAAATCAGTTTCATGTAACACCTAAATGCATTCGTTTTGATAATGGCTTAGAGTTTTTTAATAGAAATTGTCATGATTTGTTAGCAGAGCTAGGTATTCA